CGGGATTTGGGGGGGGTCTCCATCATTTCCAGGGGGCTTGGAGGGAATCAGGCTGGGAGGGATGGGGGGGGGCCCCGGGTTTGGGGGGTCCCCCCAGGATTTGGGGAGGGTCTCCCTGGGATTTGGGGGTTCAGGGGGATCAGGCTGGGAGGGATGGCAGTGCCCCCGGGTTTGGGGGGTCCCCCCGGGATTTGGGGGGGTCCCCTCGGGATTTGGGGGGGGTCCCCATCATTTCCAGGGGGCTTGGAGGGGATCAGACTGGGAGGGATGGCAGTGCCCCCCGGATTTGGGGAGCTTTGGGGGGGCTCCCTGGGATTTGGGGGTTCAGGGGGACCCAACTGGTAGGGATGGCAGTGCCCCCCGGGTTTGGGGGGTCCCCCCGGGATTTGGGGGGGGGGTCTCCCTGGGATTTGGGGGTCCAGGGGGACCCGGCTGGGAGGAATGGCAGTGCCCCCCGGGTTTGGGGGGTCCCCCCGGGATTTGGGGGGGATCTCCCCGGGATTTGGGGTGGGTCTCCTTGGCATTTGAGGGTTCAGGGGGATCAGACTGCAGTGCCCCCCTGATTTGTGGAGCTTTGGGGGGTGCTCTCCCTGGCATTTGGGGGTTCAGGGGGACCCAACTGGTAGGGATGGCAGTGCCCCCCGGGTTTGGGGGGTCCCTCCGGGATTTGGGGGGGGTCTCCCTGGGATTTGGGGGTCCAGGGGGGATCAGACTGGTAGGGATGGCAGTGCCCCCCGGTTTGGGGGGGCTCCCTGGGATTTGGGGGTTCAGACTGGTAGGGATGGCAGTGCTCTCCGGGTTTGGGGGGTCCCCCCGGGATTTGGGGAGGGTCTCCCTGGGATTTGGGGGTCCAGGGGGGATCAGACTGGTAGGGATGGTAGTGCCCCCCGGATTTGGGGAGCTTTGGGGGGCTCTCCCTGCCATTTGGGAGTTCAGGGGGATCAGACTGCAGTGCCCCCCGGATTTGGGGGACCCCTCATAATTTCCTGGAGATTTGGGGGGGGGGGATTCAGGGGGGGATCCCCACCACCCCATCCCAAATCTCTGCCCCCCAGGACTGCTCCAGGTCTCGCTGCCGGGAGCTGCGCTGCGCGCTGGCGCGGCTGGAGCGCGGCGGCGCCGCCTCCGTGGAGCTCGAGCGGAGCCTCCGCGGCGCCGCGCTGGGCTCGGTGAGCGCGGGGGGCTCGGGGGAACGGGACCCCCCCCCCGAATTCAGGGACAAATCTACTGTGGTGATTTCTAGTTTGAGGTTTTTTATTAGAATTGGGATGATTTTTTAAAAAAATTGTTGGTTTTTTATTGTTGTTTTACTGATTTTTAAATGATTTTATTATTCTTTTGTGTTATTTTCATTTAATTTCACTACTGTTTTATTCAATTTTATTATTGTTGCATTTAATTTTACTATTGTTTTACTATTTACTGGTTTACTATTGTTATTTAATTATTTTTTGACGTTATTATTATTTTAATTTTTTATTATTTACTTTTATTATTTTCATTTTTATTATTTTCATTTTTATTATTTACTATTTAATTTAATTATTGATTTAATTTTATTCTTTTATTTCATTTTATAATTTTGTTACTGCTTCATTTCATTTTATAATTTTGTTATTACTTCGTTTCATCACTCTTTTATTTGATTTTACTATTATTTTATCCTCCTTTTATTCTATTCCATTATCCCTTTATTTAATTCTGTCACTCAATTCATGTTTTTTCCTCCTTTTCCCCATTCCAGGTGAAATTCCGGAGCCTGAGGATCGTCAGCAGCGTCTGTCTGGGGCTCGGGGGGGAGCTCCTGGTGCTGGAGGAGGGGGCGCAGTGCCGGGAGGTGGGACCCCCAAATTCCCTTTCCCCACCCTAAATTCCCCCCTCCCAATTCCCCATTTCCCCCCTTCATCCTTGTTTTCCTCTCCAAATTTCTTCTTCCTCCTCCCCAAATTCGATTTCCCTCCCCAGATCCCCTTTTCCCACCCCTCAATCCCAGTTTTTCCTCCCAAATTCCCTTTCCCCACCCCAAATCCCCCCTCCCAATTCCCCATTCCCGTTTTTCCCCCTGACCCCTCAATCCCAGTTTTCCCCCCAAATTCCCGTTCCCCACCCCGAATCCCGCCCTCCCAATTCCCATTTTTCCCCATGACCCCTCAATCCTGGTTTCCCCCGCAAATTCCGTTTCCCGACTCTTCACTCCTGTTTTTTTCCCATCCCTCAATCCCAGTTTTCCCCCCAAATTCCCGTTCCCCACCCCAAATCCCCCCCTCCCAATTCCCATTTTCCCCCCTGACCCC